TCGTGTCATCGTTCAGTAACGTGCACGTGCTGTCTGCAGGCTTTGACATAAATACCCCAGATGACCTCGGAAGGACCTGCCTTCATGCTGCTGCTTCAGGAGGGTGAGTGACCCCCCCACCCATTCCACCCTCTTCATTCACCCACGCTCTCTTCCCCTCCCTGCACTGTCTCCCACGCTCGCTGTCTCCCGCTCGCTCGCGCCCTCCCCTCCCCAAGTACTCACTTGTGCCGCCCCCCACTGCTAATTCTCCCCCCACCCCCTGGTCAGCTCACCCACTCTGTTGGGCACTGGTGCTGTGTAGGAAACCAGTTTCATTCTCCTCCCTGGTCTCTCAGGCGTTCTCCCTTTGATCTTGCAGGAATGTTGAATGTTTAAACTTGCTGCTCAGCAGTGGTGTGGACTTGAGGAAGGAGGATAAGTTCGGAAGGTAAGTTGCTGGGGGACGGAGGTGTGTGTGTGTGTGTGTGGAGGGGCCGATTTCTGAACTCCCTCCCTCTTGTCTCCCTGGTTGTACAGGTCCGCCTTGCACTACGCGGCTGCCAGTGGCAGTTACCAGTGTACGGTTACTTTAATAACCGCCGGCGCTAGTATTGTCCAGACGGATAGCAGGGGGTGTACCCCTCTGCACTACGCTGCTGCTGCTTCTGAGGCCTACAGAAGGTAAGAGAGAGGGATGACACCGGGTCGGGCTCCACTATCGCTCTGTCCGTTGCGGTCTGTCTTTCTGGCTCTGGCTCTCCCCCTCCCCCCCGCCATCTCTCACCCCACCCCACCCTCTGTCTTTCTGGCTCTGCCCCCTCCCCACCCCTCTCTGTCCCTCTCTCTCACCCCTCCCCACCCTCTGTCTTTCAGGAGTGACCACCTGACAAGTAGTCACGAACACAATGAAGTGCTGAAGGAGACCCAGGAGAAGGAAGCCTTCTTGTGAGTATGGGAGGGGTCTGCCTGCCTGCTCCTGTAGCCTTCTCTCCCCGCCCCCCCCCAACCCCACCCCCAGCAATACCCTGAGCAGCCTCAGGCCTGGGCCCTGCTGAGGACCGCATCCGAAACAGGAAGGGAGCTGCCATCCCGGTTTGGCCTGTGGGGTTGGATGGCGTTGGCTGACCAAAGGGTGATACCGTTAGAAACTGAGCCCCTTGCAGCGGCCTACACCCTGGGTTTCTCCAGCGATGTCCTCGGGACCAGACCCCTCTGCCCTGCCCTCCTCCCCGGGTGAGCCCTCCATGCCTGTGGCCGTAACCCTGCCCTTTTCTCTTTGCAGCTGCCTGGAGTATTTGCTGGACACTGGCATGGACCCGTTGATTCAGGACAAACAAGGTTACAGTGCAATACACTACGCGGCAGCACACGGGAGCAAGCAGAACCTGGAGCTGGTCAGTGTGGTGATACACTGTGTTTACGTAGCGCCTTTTTTTGCCAGGGAAGATACCTCCGCGGCCTGAGGAAAGCTCACACCCTAAGGCCCGATTCAGGGAGGTTTCAGGGCCTGTCCCCAAGGCTGATTCTCAGATCTTGGCTGGTTTTGGGAGGGGGAGTGCATGGGAAACAGGTGGGGGTGCACGGTGCGTGCACCTTGGAATGGAGGTGAGAGGGTGGAGTTGGAGGAGCGCGGAGATTGTGGAGACTTGTAGCAGGTTGCAGATAGGGAAGGGGGGATGGAGGAGGTGACAGAGATAGGAAGGGGGTGTAGGGGGCTGGAGGAGGTGACACAGAGATAGGGAGGGGGTGTAGGAGGCTAGAGGAGGTGACACAGATAGGGAGGGGGTGTAGGAGGCCTGGAGGAGGTGACACAGATAGGGAGGGGGTGTAGGGGTCTGGAGGAGGTGACACAGATCGGGAGGGGGTGTAGGGGGCTGGAGGGGGTGACACAAATAGGGAGGGGGTGTAGGAGGCCTGGAGGAGGTGACAGAGATAGGGAGGGGGTGTAGGGGTTTGGTGTCGGTGGAGAATTGGGGTGGGGCAGAGTTTGCGACTGTGCGTCTGTACCTATGTGGTCTGCTGCTTGTAGCGTTGTGTCATATCCTCCCGTCTCGGCTGGAGGGAACAGACTAACCGGTGACCTTGCTTTCACAGCTGA